AAAAAAAGGGAAAATTAAAACCCATTTTGTCCCTATTCTCAAGAATCACATATTTGGTTCAAAAGCAATTATCCAATTGGTTCCAGAACCATAATTAATTAGAAAGTTTTGCATAGTGCAACTCGTTGAATGAATGAATGAATGAATGAATGAATGAATAAGACGGCTGTTATCTACTATGCATATACTCGATCAGCAAACCGCACAGTAGGAAGGAAATAAGTTATGCACATTTTTTTATATTGATTTTTTTCTCAATTACATAAATGAGCTCAAAATTACAGTATCATAGTGGGAATATACTATTAAAATAAAAGATGAATTTGTTTTAGGGTTTAATATAAGAAGAAGCTATCATGCATTAAAACAAAGTTAGCACAAATTTGCTTACTACCTGACTATTTGTTTTTACAGAAACACTGATGCAGCAGATGCTTCCTGTCAAATCCTCCTTTGTGGGATGTATCCAGGACATGAAGATCAACGACGTATCAGTCTCCTTCCACAGGTCATCGGGCGTGTTTGGCCCTGTTAACCTCAAAGAGTGTCCGGGCTGAGCAGTTATGGCTGAGCAAGCCTTGGGACCACGTCCTCTACCAACTATGTGCAATCGGTTAAAAGACAGAGAATGTGTCTGTGTGTCAGAATGTGTGGTGTGTGTGTCTGAAGGAATGTGTGTGGGGGTTGTGAGCAGCAGCTTACAGCTTTATCACTTTAGCTGCTCTATATTTATTCTGTGATAAAATCATATAACGTCATGGCACCAATTCTTGGACAATCTTCCTAATTGCAGCACAACCTTATGCATGTCTCCATTGATTCTTTGTCAACAACCAAATGCTACTGAACAGACTGGTGATTATTGATCAGGGGAACTCATTATCAAAAACCCAGCACTTTAAGAAAATAAATGTTGCCTTCTCAGATGGTGCTGCAGTTGTGTTGCAATGAAAACTAGCTTTGTTGTCGATTGTAGTTTTTTTTTCTCTGTTGGACTCCAACTTTTATCCTAGAATTATTATGTTTACACCTGCGGTGCTTAAGTCATTGCTGTTTCAGGGGTCTCCAAGCTATGATCTATTTATTTCCACCTGCCTGCATGTGGAGTTCTGCTTTGTAACTGGTTTAAAACACCTGCAATCCTCACGTTTGATCTGAGTTACCTTCCCGTTTTGCATTCCTTTTGCATGAAAATTATGATGTTCTCTGTCGGTTTTTCACACCATAAAAAAGGCATGAATTTTTATTCCTATTTATTCAAATTTTTTTCTGATAAGTGATCTTTAATTTATGACATTAACATAGCTTTCAGAACTGTGGTCAGTCATGAATTGGGACCATTACAAAAGAGCTGCAAACAATTTAGCACAGAACTAAATGTGTATTAAAGATGCTTAAATTTCCCAACAGGTGTTTACTTTTCTGTTTTTACATTCATACCACAATTATTAAGAAATGCGTTATAAGAATGCATTGTATACTTGGACGCATTTGGACATGCATTCCTGCCTTGTGATGACCGATTTGTAAACCTGTTCCATCATTGTTTTTATAGTTCCTGTGGCAATAAAAGATTATTTGATTTGTGTTTAAAATGGCAAGTTATGTTTTTTAAGTCTTTCATGTTGAATTTCCTTTGATTGGTTTAATAAAGCTTATTAAAATTGTGATAAGATTGACTTATAAAGTAAAACTTATCTCAAAAATAAATGTCCATTTGTATCACCATCACTAACTGAATTAGTGATATATGTCTACTTGATATAACAGTATGTAATTGAATATAATCAGGGTAGCATAAAAACAAGTAGTTATTTGAATTTTATTTTAAAATCTAAAGGTATTGAATTAACATGCAAGTTGTTTTTTTGTGGTTCGGATGTGTACAAATTTGATTTGGCATGATTTTCTTTTCATGCATGATTTCTCTTGTATTTAAAGGTCTCCCATCCCACATATATCATATATTATATTTTCACCACATTCAGGCCAGCTCTTTCGACTTCAAAGCAGCTCTACAGATGTGGGGGGTTTTTTCTCCTTAATTTATTATGCAACAGAAAAATGTTGCAAAATGAATGAGAGCTCATAGTAGGAAATGACTTTACTCAACAGCTCTTCTTCTGGGTCAGCGTAAAGTAAAACATGCATTCTGAGTTTTAAAATACCACGGGTTGATTTGCCTTTTGATGGTTTAGACTTACAGATTTACGTGCAGAAAATTCTTGGAACGGGAGCTTTTAATTCAGAAATCTTCCCATTTTGTCTGAAACTGGTATTTGTATTGAACCAGAAATCAGAAAACATGCTTCTGTTACGTGACAGTTTACTGCTCTGAAGTAATGTGTTTTAAATGTTTTCTTCTGCGTAAAACACAACAGCATCAATAAATCTCAAGCTCTGAAAGGAGTAAAGGGATTATTTAAATTCACAAGGGGCGTCCTGAACTGTCTTACACTAAAAGCATAAGAGAGAATTAATCCCAACCTATTGTTTCAGTATAATGTTGAAAATATGTGGCATTAGTTACATACAGAAAATTTACATTTTAACACTATTTGTGGCTTATGAATGTATAAAAATATAATAAATAAGCTCTTTGCTTGCTTATATTCTGTACTGTTCAATGGACTGAGAGACTGCTATGATTTTTTGCCCCTCCATGTATGGGAAGCACTGTGCTGCCATGACGCTGTGACATAATTCAGGAACACAGCCGACAGCAGACAAAAAGTTCTTAGGAGGTGTAGCCACACTGAACTGTTGTCTTGCATGCTAATACACAAGCATAAAACATAAAACACTATGTTGTTTTATGCAACCATTGCACATTATCAGTTCAGCTTTACTGCTAATTTAAGTTGATTTTTTTTTTCAAAACACTAGAGAAAATTGAAAAGTGGATGAAAATTCAGTTTTTATTTTGTAATTTCACAACTTTTTTTTAAAGTAAATGGTTCATAGTTCATAGAGACTTGAGAGATAATGAATATGGTCGAAATTAGATGATTTTTTGAAAAAAAAAAAAAAAAGTGGATCTGACTGGCGGTTTCGCTGAAGGCAGTGTCCGTTTCTGTAGAGGTCACAGTTGACATTGGTAATGATCTGCACAGCTCTGGATTCTGACCAGTAAATAAAGTTTATTTAGTTCAGAAACATCAAAATCCAAGAAGTTCATGATCTACATTTAAATTAAATCCATTGTTATTGCATAAGTTATTTATTGTCATTTACATACATTTTTACTTTTTCTCTAAATTTGTCTAAAACTGTGTTATTTTTTAGAAAATGTACATTTTTAAATTTTGAAAATTAAAAAAAAAATCTTTGGTCCTACATTATATAAAAATAAATATAAAATTTTGCTGTTTCCCTAAATTATTCTAAAAATATATAAGGTTATGGATAAAACATATAGTCCTATTAAAATTAGTTTTATTAGAGGTTCAGATTTGTACTGTTTCCTTGCAGTTGGGCAAGTTTTACAGGGTTAGCTTTATCTGCCCAAACACTGTCTGTGTTTGGACAGGAAAATTTTAAATCTGGCTAGTGGCGCCGTTTTTGTTATTAATGAGAGTGACGCGCATGCGCCATGCTGGATAAAAAAAATATGACGCAGCTTCCACGTGATCGTTTTTAAAAAAGATGCCGTTAGCATCTGGACTCATACAGACACAAAACTGTCGGTCTGATATTCATTAACTTTGAAACCTGGATTAAAAATATTTTCTGATCTCCCAAGACGCGGAATCCGAGTGGACGCCCAGCCTTATTACTGAAACTTTTGTGGATCCGATTGAAATCGTGTCAGTGTTTATCGACGCTAAGTTTGGCGACTTGTACTTAACTGCAGTCAAGGCCGCAGTGATGGCAAGTAGGCCGCAGGAGAGCCATGTTTGAAAGTTGTTTTTCGGAAACCTTACTCTAAGTTGTTTGTCTTTTTCCACCGATGACATTAGTGAGACGAGGCTGAAGTTGGTTTCCGAGTCCAGCTTCCGATTCGGGAAATGGCTAAAGGGCGAGTCCACGTAATTCTTCACTACCTTCCGCATCTTTAATCTACTCTAGTTAGAAAACTACAACACCTAGACACTTCAAACCTGGACTGGATTATTCTCAACTAATAGCAGAATATTGAAAACCATGTTTGTGATTTTTTCTTATTTGTTAAACTTAAATAAAGTGCAATTTTTAGCCTTTTTTGCATCTGCACCCTTTTTGGAACCTAACCCTAACCCCTTTTTGTGAAACTTCAATAAAGGTTGATTTCAGCACATTTTTGCATCAGTATTGCACTAGAACTGCTCTGGTTCCTAAATTACAACTCATAGACTCTTCAAACCTGGACTAGATTATTCTGCTCTAACAGCAGAATATTTTAATCCATGTTTGAGATTTGTGAAACTTTTATGTGATTTGTGAAACTTCACTAAAGTTCAGATTACTATTCACTTGTCCCATACAGTCTTTTTTTTTTCAAATTCAAATTCAGTTCTAATTCAAAACCACTTGATTAATCCCAAAGGGAAACTAAATGTTGGCGTTATTGTAGATGTATTGTATTGTATATTGTTTATAATGTAGAGCGTTCATTTTATACACTTAACATTGGTGCTGTAAGTGGTTCGGTATGAAATGGGTGAAATAAATAAATAAATGGGTGAAATAAATAAAGAAATTAGTAAAATAAATCAATAAATGAGTGAAATAAATAAATAAATGAGTAATTGGCATTTTTATTCCCATTTATATTTATTCATTTATACATTTATTTATTCCCAGATTAATTTAGCCATTTTTCATTTTCCCATTTTCACTTGTCCAATTTTAATTTTTCATTTACCCATTTTCATTTATCCCTTTATCCATTTTTCATGTATCTAGTTTTTATTTAACCACTTTTCAATTTCCCTTTTTCATTAACCCAATTTTCAATTTCCCAGTTTCATTTATCAATTTCTCATGTATCCCTTTTTTATTCACCCATTTTTCATTTAGCTATTTTTGATTAAATTTCTTTTTAATTTTTAATTTTCCCATTTTCCAATTTTCTTTATTAATTTAGTATTTTCTCATTTTTTATTTATCGCATTCTATTTTCCCCTCCGTTTCTGTTTTAATATGATAGCAAGGGGCGGTGTCTTTAGGCTACATTAGCAGCCTATTGGTTGATTAGATGCAACTGCAGCTCTGAACTCCTCTGGACTTTCCCTCCGAAAAGCAGTCTCGCAATGGCGAACGCAGAGGGAGCAGCACGTTCCGTATCAGTTTTTCTTAGGAAAGCTGCCGATCGAATAGACGAACTAGAACGCTATAAGTTTGATATCCGACATGTTTTATGGTCCTTTGAGTTTTGTTTAACTTTAATTTTTGACATATACACCTTCAACTTCGACTGCTAATCAACAGTTACTCATAGTCACAGAAAACCGGAGGAGTACCGCTACTCGTAAGTTATCAAGCTTTATACATATTGTTTGTGTAATTTAGGTTAACGAAGGCAATCTCAAACGGCTTGCACATTATCCAAGTTTAAGCTAACTTATCAGTTCTTGATGGATTTGTGCCATTACTGTGCCTGCATTAGTTACCAGCAGAGTAATGGCAGCACTGTCAGCAGCGTCGCTGTTTGTAATGTTTATAATGTTTGAATATTTGATAAGAATGGATAGATGGTGTTGTTTGATGTTTCAAAGTTATTAGGTTAGTTGATCAAGGTTAATCTTGATTAAGATAAACTTTGATTAGATTATTAGGTAAAATTAGTATAAGTATTTTTTTTTATTGTGGTGGTGAACCTCTCACTCTTGAGGCACTCTTGAAGCTTGTTTATATAGTATATTTATGAGTGAGAAATGTGATGAATAGAAATGTCATTTTCACAAATGTCAGCATTGTATCCCAGCTCAGGATCAGTAACGAAAAGACATAGTATGCGAGGTGCATTGATTGCAGTTGCATGGCCGAACAAAAATGACCTATCTTGTAAAAGTCCTTACCTGTCGATTCTGATTTCATTCAACACAATTTTTTTTTTTTCTTAAATGTCTGCACATATATGAAGAAAGTCACTTAGTAGGCAACAGTTTGGTGACTATTATTGACTACAAACATGCAGGCATGGCTTATTGGGAGGGGCTGACAGTCCAAACTCTAACCGGAGAGAAGAAGAGAACAGCAGTTGATGTTTAGACCTTTGCTGAGGTATACAAGATCAGCCTCAGGTGCAAGTATTGGCAGATCACAGATCTCCCAAAATTGAGGAAATCTGTTGTGACAAATCGGCTGACCGATAAATCTGTGCACCTCTAATGCATATGTTTGGACATGCATTTTCTCCAGATTTGGAATAAAGATAGAAGTTCTACCCTTTCAATTAATTGCTGATAATGTTTGGGGTTGCAAGTTCATGTACAGAGAGTCACACAAAACAAAAGAGTTCTGCACTGCACAACTGCTATACTGTGGTGAATCCATTTCCAAAGCTTTATATCCTAATCCAGTTATGTAAAAATGAACAGCAGAACAGGAATCAAGACCAGGAATAGCCAGTCGCAGTTCTTTGGGCTGACATCCAGTTGATGGTAAGTTAATTTGTTAATTTTGCTGACAACCTATGATATGTATTAATCTTCCTAAAGTTAAAGCTGGATTAATGGATTAAAATACAACATGAGGTGTTGTGTTGCTAGCATTTAGTTACTATGTTATTCCTTTTTAACAACTGAAGTTTAAAGGCTCTTTGCACCTTACACTCGGCAGTCAGATGGTGCTATGGGCTGGTCAAGGCAACCAAGGCGTGCCAGCAACCAGCCAACCACCAGTTCTGCCAGTCCACAGACTCACACAGCCTCTATTATATATACAGCCACATATGTTGTGCCCTTGCTCACAGAAACCGTTCAGTGACTCCCACAAGAACTGAGAAGGCATGCCTTTAAAGGGCAGGGCTCAGGGAGAGACGTTTGTGCTTCTGAGGTATGTCATTAGATACATATGTGTGCATGCATGCAGATTGATAGGTTAATAAAGCTATTATTCTTTAAAATACAAAATTTGAAAATTTTAGTAAGTTTTACATGTGTAGATTACTGTGCATTTAAAAAAAAAAACAACCAATGTAGCGTATTTGTTAATAAAAGCACATTTTTGTACTGTACCAGCTGACTCTGCTATTAGTGATGGCGTTACACAGCATGTGCTATCCACACCGTTTAACGCCGAGCAGCATGGCTTCCTGCTTGATGGAAAAAAAAGGTATGTCACACTATATTTTCCTTGGATAAAGTAGAATGTCTGTGTTTGCTATTCTACATTTTTTTCCTTTAAAGGGAGGGAGAGAGTGACCACCTCTAGTATGGATTAACCTACTTTTAAATAATTTAATCTTGCTTATCAGTTGTGGAAATATATTAATAAAAAAAAAAAAGTCCAAGTAAAACAATTCATAAATTGATTACCTATATTTCATATCTAACTTTGTGGATTTTTTTTTTTTTCTGATTTCACTCAACAGCTTGAAGGAAAAAAGACCCGATTAGCCAAATAATATTACATTGTTTAGCAGGGGGGCAACTGCATGTTTTCTGAGGCGTCATCGGCGTCTATAAGGCAGAGACCTTCGTGGATAACAGAGAATCCCCTCTCGAACAAACACCCAAGCTACATAAAGGACACTACAGACTTTAAACAAAAATTACACAAGATTAAGGAAAATAAGCCTTCTTCTCACCATGGATGTTGAAAGTTTTTATACATTGAAACAGACAAGTGATGTAGAAAACTGGAGTACTTTCCTCCCTCCTTAACGAATGCCCCAAACTGGAGCTGGTGGAGAAAACCAGAAGATTTTGCACAGGAGTGCCGTTGTCTGATGAGACCTTTTGAGATCACTACATTTACCAAGTGAAGTTAAGTCATCTTCCACACAAACAACTTATAATGAATTCTGGTATGACAGTATGCCTTTACTGCCACTGCCAGAGTTTGGGGCAGTGAGACCCAGAAGCCCACAGCCACATTGTCTGGAATCAAGGCATTACCGTGACCAAAAAAATTAAATCAACTAAAGTTGACACACTGCAGTGTTCAACTCTTGTTGTACACTGTAACTGTTGTACACTGCAACCGGTGAAGGGATCACATCCTTCACCGAAGGAATTGTAAGAGTTGGAGATAACAAGGACCGACAAGCCACAGCCGAGAGTGACAACATTGGACTGTATGGGCAAAGATGGAGCCATCTTTCAAACCTTTACGACCAGAATATTGTCGGTATATGTCTAGGACATGCACATGATGTTATCCGCAAAGTCTTCATCATTTCCCGTGAGCTCTGTTCAAACATTATAGTTGCCTTCATCAAAGATGTTCCAGAACCTTCTTAGGAAGAGGAGACCACTCCGGAGAATGAGTATGCAACAATTCTTATGTTTTGAGTCTGTCTGTATCTATCTATCTATCTATCTATCTATCTATCTATCTATCTATCTATCTATCTATCTATCTATCTATCTATCTATCTATCTATCTATCTATCTATCTATCTATCGATCGATCGATCGATACCTATATGTCTATAGATACAGCGCCCCACCTCTAGGCGCCATGTGGTAGTCTGCTGATTACCACATGGCAGTCAAATTTTTAGTAGTCAAAGTCAGTTCATATAAAGGACATACACTTTCTGACGAATTGTGACCTCCGATTGGTCAGTTGCTGACAAATACCCTGGAATGATTGGGGGAGGATTGCTCCACATCTGCATGGGGGCGGAGCCGGCATGTCAATTGTTACCTGGAAGTGATAGTCAAAGTTCAAATCCTCTTGTGGGATGTTTTTGTTTGTTTGTTTTGTTATAACTCAATATACAGTTTTTTTTAAATTTTGTGTCTTTTGATGAAAATGCTGCACCAACTACATATAAGTAATGTTAAATCAGATGAAAAAGTAAAGCATGGTGGGCTGCCAGGCTTATAAAACACTGCGGTAAACCCTGCTATGTTTACTGTATCTGGAATGTTTTACTGTATTTCCAATGTTTAATGAAAATGGAAACTTTTCTGGAGATGAAATTTGACATCTGATAAACATTGGCAATAATGTTAAATGCCAAGGATAACATTAAGCATTATCCTTGATTAAATAAAGAATTTATCTGTGTACATTGGCAAGGAGTTGGTAATTATTCTATGGCTGTATGTCCGATTGTTATTTAAATTGTCATTATTACTATTATGCATCCGTAGATTTTTCTTGTTTTATGAGTTAGTTTATAACCATTTTGTCTATGAAATATAGTTTATTTGTTGGCTCTTTAACACAGTATATCGAACAGGAACATGAATATTATAACATGGTTTTAACTACAAATTTTTGATAATTAGGGTATTGTCAGTAAGTAATTAAATTGAGATAAAGGATTAGGATTAAATAAGTGTTCTTCCTACTCCTTTTCAAACAGAAAAGGAGTGGTAAGGAACTCTAAAATCCTACTTAGTTTTCCAGACAATAGTGGAACACACAAAAACATGCAAAAATGACTAGTTTTTTTTTTGTACTGTTGTAACCATTAAATAATCTACCATTAAAAATTTTACTTTTAATGTAACTTAGTTACTTTCCAAATCAACTATTCAGTAATCTAACTAAATTACTTTTTCACGGAGTAATCAGTAATCTCATTAAAATACATTTTCAAAAATAACTATACCATCACTGCATTCTATAGATAATCAAAAACAAAACACACAATGAACACATATTTGTTTCTACTCTGATGATTTTGGAGTCATATTTTTAGGTCACATTTTTATTGTGTTTTGTGCCTGAGAAAACATTTATCTAAAATGTTCTGTCTCTCTTTGCTTGTGATTTAATGTTTTTACTGTTTTAAACCCAGTTTTTCAATTCTGATGGGAAAATCCAATTACTAAGAGGCATAGATGAAATCAAATTAGTTGTCCGGTAATATTATTAATAATAATAATGTTACATTTTACGGGACAGAGGTCTGAAGGTTTTATATGGTCTAGCCGAGAATATGATATTTCCGGATGCACTTGAAGGTAGCACATTTCCTGTCTCCACAGGAACACAAACCGGTGGTCAGACAGGCGGCAGAATACGGAACACAGCGGCGCAACCCTCCAGACAAAACAACGGTCAACCCAGATTATCAGTTGTTTGCAGCTATTTATGTCGTCTATATGGGTTATTAGTCTGCTAATGTAAACAGCATAGACATGACAGCGACTGTTCAGAGCTGCGCAACGGGTTGAGACTGTTTTGACTGCGAGTAAACTATCCAGAGCCACCGCACCCCCCACACGGAATCTCTCGGGCACTTGCCTCCAGCTGCGGCGGCGGTATCGGGTGTCCTAATGGCGGACCCAAGAGCAGCAGCTCCCGGGAGCTCCGAGGAGGAGAAGACGGAGCATATAAACGACGCAGAGCTGGCTCTGAAAGGAATCAATATGCTGCTCAACAACGGATTTAAGGAAAGTGATGAGCTCTTCAAGACATACAGGTCTGTGTGTGTCTCCAGGCAGCTTTCAGGTTAAACCACCAACTGCATATCTTTTTAGTTATTCCTCATAAAATGAATGTTTATGTTTGTCTTAGTTTTTTCTTTTTTTTTTGTAAGCGCCACAGTATCATTGTCCTACTTGTCTGGTGAGTTTCACCTTATGATTTGGTCACAAGCTGGATTAGATTAATGCCCCAAGAAAATACTCAGGCAGACCAACTTGTTTATGAAAAAATAGTAATGGATTAATCAAATGGCTGATTTATGTTTGGTGATGGGGTGTTGTAGTTATTTTAGCAATCTTTACTCTATGCATGTTTTTAAAGAGGTTTGCTTGTTTAGCAAGTTGTCATTCCTGAAATGCCTGTCCCAACTGAAAAGTTTCCATGAATTAACTTCCCTTTCACTTGTTTTGGATAGATCCAAAACACTTTGTTGGATATAAATGAGCCCATATAGGAGTTGAAAAGCTAAAAATAAACTAATCTATTTGTACTCTTTTAGTATAATCCACATATTGGATTTAGACTGTATTCATTCTTCTGCCATGCTGTGTTGTCATAAGAGCTTATTATCTAAAGCGAAGGGTATGCTTTAAGGCTACATGTTGATGTCACAGAAGGCTGCCCCTAGGTGTCCTGACCCCTGGTGAAAAGCAAAATGTCAGTACTCCCACTAATTGCTCTAAGCACCTAGTGCCATCCTGCTTTGACAGCATAAGTAAGAAAACATGGAGGGGAGTGAAAGACTCCAAGGCAGAGTAAGCCATACACTGCCATGCTTTGTGATGCATTTGGTTTTTGCTACTGATATGTCTTCACTTGTTAATATCTGTCTTCGGAATCACAGTAGTGTTTGGTTTGGCTTTGAAACAGACTTGGCACAAACTTAGTTGCTGTAATAATGATTACAAAGCCCCCTACTCATGTTCTGTTTCCTCTTTTTAAGGAACCACAGTCCTTTGATGAGTTTCGGTGCAAGTTTTGTGAGTTTTCTGGTAAGTACAGAATTGTTCTGTCAGCTTGACGTCATTTAGTTTCAGATCTCTGTTCTTATTTCACTTTCATTTTAACCTTAAAACAGTTTAATTTAAAAAAAACACATTAGAAGAGCTTTTAAATAATATAAAGAACACATCTTTCTATTGTTTTTACCTTAAAACAGTTTAATTTGAAAAAACATGAAAAGAGCTTTTAAATAATAGAAAGATATATATATATATATATATATATATATATATATATATATATGTGTGTGTGTGTGTGTGTATAGTTTCTGTGTTTTGAAAGATAACATTCAAATACAATTTATGACTAAGTTTACTTTGAAACCTCAAACTTTTGATTTATTAAGTGCTTTTCAAGGTAATGAAGTCATTCATAAAGATCTGCAGAAATTTTTTGTGAAATATACGACATGTACAAATCAGTCATTTTATACCGTTTAAAGTCTAAATCACTTTTAGAATTAAAATTTTAATTCCTGCTTTCTGGGCTGTAGTTACCAAACTTTTTTGCTTCACTTTTTACAAAGCCATGGGTCGCCGTCTTTTTCCATAAATTTTCTGCATTTAGAAAGATTAATCTGGGTGTGTTTTGTGTGCAGAACGCTGTAATGACTTTTGAAGAGGAGAAAATGCAGACGGCCTTTGAGGACCTCAAATCCACGGAGCGACTGTGTGAGAGTGAAAATGGCAGCGTTATTGAAACCATTAAAAACAAGATAAAGCGGAGCGTGAGTAACCACCTGAATCTATGAGTGTAATCGTTGTAGATAAATGTATGACGGATTATTATTGCCGTTGGCCCGAAACCCAGAGTGGATAAGTGTGATGTGGTTTAGCAGGTGGACTCCCAGAGGTTGGGAATGGCTGCTGTGGACCGACTGCAGCGGCAGATCATCATTGCAGACTGCCAGGTCTACCTCGCAGTTCTGTCTTTCATAAAGCAAGAGCTGTCAGGTAACGAGCAGAATAAAAAGGTCAAAAGTTTGCGTTGTATCCAAAGTAAGTTTCACTCAGCTCAGCTACACTCCCTTCCAGCATACATCAAAGGAGGCTGGATCCTCCGCAAAGCATGGAAGATGTATAACAAATGTTACAATGACATCACACACCTACAAGAAGGCAACAGAAGGGCCTCCGAACAGCAAGCGTCGTCCTCTCTGTCATCCTCCTCGGCCTCCTCCTCCAGCCGCAGCCGATCCTCCTCACCCGGAACGAGCCGCTCTCGGAGACAGGACGGCGTCAGCCCGGAGGTTCTGGACCGGCTGAAAGGATCTGTCAGCTTCGGCTATGGCCTTTTCCACCTGTGCATCTCCATGGTGCCGCCTCACCTTTTGAAGATCGTCAACCTGCTGGGCTTCCCTGGAGACCGCGATCAAGGCCTCTCGGCTCTCACGTATGCCAGTGAAAGTAAGGACATGAAGGCCCCATTAGCTACGTGAGTATGTGAGTGAGCATGTTTATGAAGTATTCATGCCCCTTTAACTTTGTAAAACATTGTCTTGCCACAACCCCAAACATCTGTGTATGGTATTGGGGTTTTATGTGATACACCAATACAGAGTAATGCATAGATGTGAAGTGGAAGTAAAGTAATAATCATCTAAAACATACAAATACAAAATATGTGCAGAGGATTTCCTGAGGGGAGGAGAGTTTGTTGTGATTCTAATTCAGGCTTTTCACATTTATTCCTCAATCCTGTATTAGGTCTTACAGTTCAGAGTAGTTACAGGTAGTTACTACCAACGTGAATCTCGGGAGTGACTTCAGCCTCCACTCCATGTCGGAAACTGTTGACCACGAGCAGCGAAGAACACATGTAGATCACAAAAAGGGGCTTGTGTGTTCAGAGTGTTAAGCACAGTCAGTTTTCCATCACAGTTTTGCTTTCAATGATCTGTTTCTTTTTTGACAATCCTCTACAAGAGCCAAAGTTATAAAGTGCATTGACAGCAGAAGAAAAAAAAAAAAAGTCTTACAGCTCACAGGAGTACACAGCAACATCATTTTGTGATGTTGCTGGAGAAGGGGTGAGTTTTAATAAGTTTACACTTTTACCCACTCCTTTGAACGTGTATTGTTTGCATTGCTGTCATTTTAATTGTAACTTGATGCGTTCAATTAAAAAAAAAAAAAAAAAAAAAACTAAGTTAACTGAATGTATATCAAGTGTAAAAAGATTCTCCCAGCTGCTTCTCTGATTAATGCTGTCTTTATCCGGCCTGTCAGGTTGGCCACCTTCGCAGAACAGCTGTACTTATACAGAGATTACTTTCAGATCTTAAACAAACAGAAATATAATTTTCCTTCCACTTCACAGGGATGCACAACTTTGTGTTTCACTTAAAACTCTCAATGAAATACATTCAAGTTTGTTGTTTAAGGGACAAAATGTGTAAAAGTTGGAGGGGTAAAATACTTTTCCAAGGCATCGTATAAATACTAGGTGTAAAAAAAAAAAAAAAAAAAAAAAAAAAAAAAAAAAAAAAATAGAATTTTTG